GTGCCGCAGCTTCCGGGAGCTCTCTGACACTTCCACCAGGAAGCCGTCCTTCACCAGCTGCCGCGTCTGAGGGAGACGGCACACCCCCCACCAGCCTGCTCAGAGGGGAGCGCAGGCCAATGGCCCAACCTGCCCTGGGAGTGGGGGAGGGGGGCGGCACCGTCCCACTAGGGAGGGCTCAGGGGGGTTGTACTGCCTGGTGGTTAAGAGCACTGGGCTTTGAAGTCACATGGACACAGGTCTGAATCCAGACTCTGCCACTTCTCAGCTGTGATCTCAGGCAAATTCCCTGACCTGAATCTCAGAGTTATCATCTGTAAAATGGGGATAATGATATCTGCCACAGAAGGTAGGATTCATCAAGATGCTGTATGTAAAACAGTACAGTGCCTGGCACAAAATATATGACCAGCAAATGGTAGCCTTACACTTTCCCGCAGTACTCAATAGCTCCTACCTGCATGGACCCCAGTCCAGAATGACCTGGTTTCTCTACCCTGGAGCATGAACACCCCTCCCTCCTGAAACCCCTCCCTACCAAGCATAAGAAGTTGATCTAGTTTCAGCTCAAACCTGATCTGCAGACCCACTCATGACTTTTGTGCTACTTCTCAGTGGATTCTTCCACCACCTCCAGTGGATGGGAGACCCTGGGCTACCCTCAGTGGGGCTGCAGCTACCCTGAGGGGACGTGCAGCTGCCTCTTGGGTTTTGGACAGTCAGGAGCATTTTGGTCCACACGGGACTTCCAGAGTTTCCTCCCCACCACCCTCAGAGGCAGGGGCTTCTCTGGAGCTGTCACATCTGTCCCAGCCTTCCCTGTGTCTATTATACGCTGTGTGACTTATATATGCCGCAATATGTAGGTGAGCATATTGAAAGTATACAGTTATGACAATCTGAACTGATGGTGCTCTAAGCCCTCTGGAGATTTTTCAGATACCCCCAGAATAAAACAAATTAATGCCATTCCTGGGTGTTACAAACCAGAGCTGAGAACTGTACAAAGACAGCTCTCTATGCCCCATTAGTCACTCTCCAGACTCTGTCCCTCATGACTTCTCTCTCAAGAGACACTGGAAGCTCGTAAATGTAACAAAGAAGCATAAACCCAGTCAAGCTTCCCTCNATTCACAGAATTGCAGTTAGCAAAAATTTAGAGATGTCTAATAAAAGAAGAATGCTTAAGTAAATTATGGCATATCCACTTGTAACATCATGCAGGAAAGTAAAATGATGATTATGAAGATTAGGCAGCAACAGGGAAAATGCTTATGACGTGAAATAGAAAGAGCAGAGCCCCAAATTGGGCATTCACTCTGATTATAACAGTATGAAAAAACATAAGAACATTAAAAAAAGGAGAAGGAAATATAGCAGCAGGAGACTGAAGCTGATGTTCGGGTGGGTGACAGTTTTTTCTATAATGTCCTTATATTATCTTTATAATTAAAAACATGATTTGTTTTTAGAAAAACAGCATGTAGTGAAATAAAAGTAATTAATATATTTTTAAAAAGGAAAAAAATACAGATTGCACGAGCTTGCTGAGGGCTTCACAGGGGCAGGGGTCTGGTTTCTCCCCCACCATGACCCTGGACTCCTGCACACTCACCCCGCAGAAGTCTTCTTCAGCTTGGCACACAGTAGGACATCTGTAAAGAGGAAGACGTGCCGCAGCTTCCGGGAGCTCTCTGACACTTCCACCAGGAAGCCGTCCTTCACCAGCTGCCGCGTCTGAGGGAGACGGCACACCGGTGCTGACAACACCAAGTCAAGGGTTATGATCCCCTTACCCTGGTTTCTCTACCCTGGAGCATGAACTCCCCACCCTCCTGAAACCCCTCCCTACCAAGCATAAGAAGTTAATCTAGTTTCAACTCAAACCTGACCTGCAGACCCACTCAGGCCTTTTGTGCTACTTCTCAGTGGATTCTTCCACTGCCTCCAGCAGATGGGAGACCCTGGGCTACCCTCAGTGGGGCTGCAGCTACCCTGTGGGGACCTGAAGCTGCCTCTTGGGTCTTGGACAGTCGAGAGTATTTTGCTCCACATAGGACTTCCAGAGTTTCCTCCCCACCACTCTCAGAGGCAGGGGCTTTTCTGGAGCTGTCACATCTGTCCCAGCCTTCCCTGTGTCTATTATATGCTGTGTGACCTATATATGCCGCAATATGTAGGTGAGCATATTGAAAGTATACAGTTATGACAATCTGAACTGATGGTGCTCTAAGCCCTCTGGAGATTTTTCAGATACCCCCAGAATAAAACAAATTAATGCCATTCCTGGGTGTTACAAACCAGAGCTGAGAACTGTACAAAGACAGCTCTCTATGCCCCATTAGTCACTCTCCAGACTCTGTCCCTCATGACTTCTCTCCCAAGAGACACTGGAAGCTCGTAAATGTAACAAAGAAGCATAAACCCAGTCAAGCTTCCCTCCTAAATGTCACTTAATTACCTCTATTGGACAGGAAGCATTGTATCTGGGCCAGGCTGTTGACCCACGAGGGTAATTATCCCTCTGATTCTTCACATTGCTCCCCCTCACTGCGCTACCCCCCACCCTCCCACTGAGAAGGGCCCCAGGGGAGCTGCTGTACAACATCTCGGTGCCCAAGTGGGATATTCCAGCAACTTGGGCAGCCTCAGCCACCTCCAGTACCAGCCTTTCCACATTGGCTCAGTCCCTGGCTCCTGCTTGTGCAGGCTGATTGAAGCAGCTCGGAGCTCCTGTGTCCCCAGCCTCTGGGGGACTCCTGAGAGTATGATACTGGCCAGAGGAGGGTGTTTGTATTCAAGGATGGGGTACCCAGAGGCCATGCTTCCCTGATATGGGACAATGCATGGGGCTTGCAAACAACAAAGAGCTCCAGGCAAAGAATCCAGTTCTGACAGTATGGCTGAGAGATCTTGCGCCAGACCTTGAAAGGCTCTCCAGGACTCAGTTTCCTCTTCTGCCTCATTGTATTGTTATGGGGATCAATGGGGCACTGGACTTAAAGCTCTCAGCCCAGGGCCTGAAATGCCATAGGTAATCAGGGTGACCTAGGACTGAAGACCTCTCTCTGGCTGGGAATGGGATCAAATTTGGAGAGACACAGGGCACAGGGCTGGGACATCCATGAGAAAGAGAGAAAGGACAGAGGATCTGGTCCAGCCCATGCTCCTTAGCATGGGCGTGAGGCTGTACTGGGTTCTGAGCTCACCTCCCCCTTGGGGGTCGTGACTGCAGTCCGGCGGGGATCAATGTCCTCGTTGATGCTGGACAGGAAGTTCTGGGAGATGCGGAGGGCATCCTGTAGCAGCGGGTAGTCTGGGTGGTCCACAGGTGTGTGCTTCAGCAGGTCCTGGGAAGGGGTGGGGGAGGGGAGTTGGGGAGAGGTGCTGGGACTCAGTGAGAAGACAGTAGGGAGTCCTCAATCCTCACCAAAAGAATTCACAGGGGGACCCACACTCATGCCTGCAAATCTGAACTAAAAATTAGGGTCGGAGCAGCAGGAGTGACTGTTTCATTACTGCTGTGGTCATCAATCTTTACCCCGGTGGGGGAAGCCAGGTGGAGTCTCATCTCACTGAGCAGCTGGGAGAGATACCCCTCTACCTACCCCACAGCTGCTCCAAGGACACTGGAGACTGAGAAACAGGGGACAGGGAAGCAGGAAGTGCCTGCCTCCTAGGGGGCATTTGGCCAAATGTCAAGCTTAGTAGCCAAGCTATATATAGACCCCGGTCCTGCTGGCATGGTTAACGCAGGCCAGGCAGGCGCAGTCCAGGCCAGAGTCCCTCTGCCCAACTCCCCCCAGTGAGCTGTGCTCAGTGACTCCAGCACCCTCTCACCCTTAGCTCTGTCTCCCACTGAACTCCTAACCCCTCCCTGGCCATTCGGGGGCATGACACTCACGTGTAGGACCAGAGTGCTCCGAGTGACTCGGTCAATGGGCTTGTAGAGAAGAGCTGTCAGGGAAGGCAGGGAGGAGATAGGACAATGAGATGCCGGAACAATGTGAAACCCTAGAGCCCAGCTTTACCCCCACCACCAATACCCACTGACAGGAAGCCCAGGCGGGTTCTGCCTCCACTCTCACTCCCAGCGGGCCAAACAATGGGGCAGGTAGACACACAGCCCTGGCAGCCCAGGCTCCCCTGACCCCTGCCTCCGCATCTATCTCCCACCAGATGTGACTTCTTTGAGGGCCATCCCCAGGGCCGGCCTGGCCTGACCTGGCTCAGAGCAGATGCCCCCCACACCCTCCACCCTGAATCACAGGGCTACACCTGGCCATACCCAGCAGAGGTCCAGCACAATTTGAGTCACACCCAGGACCCAGGATAAGGGAAGGAGACATGCTGTTGTTCCAGGAAGGGCAGCTCCACCATGCCTGATCATTCTCACTCCTCCAGTCGAAGGCCTAGCACAGCCAGCTGGGAATGGCGTGCTTCCTTCTGACCCATACAACTGGCCTCATCTCTATGAGGAAAGACCCCTTTATATACACTCAGACCCCCAGACAGAATAGGACAGGCTGGAGGCCAGGGAGGCAGGACAGATCTGCACAGAAAGGCTCTGCTCTCAAGCAGGTGGCAGCCTGAGGGGCAAAGAGTTCCTGAACAAATTCAGGTCGGGCCCTGCATATGGGAGCCACAGAGGCTGGGAGAGTGCTGCCTGTGCCAGGGCCCCCTGTCTCACACCCTTCCACAACCCAGACACCTAATGAGGATTGCTGGGATTCAGCAAGGACAGGTGGGGGAGCAGCTAGCAGAGCAACATTTCCAAACATCCTTCCTGCAAGCAGCTGAGCCCTGCCCCTCCCAAAAAGGGGGTTCAACTTCAGTCCTGCACCCAGATACCTCTATGGGTCATGACCTATGGCCTCCTGCCATAGGAGCAGTAGGAGGCAGAATGCTGGTCTGGGAAGGAGGACCCTAGATTGGGTGTCCCATAGGACCAGGTTGTGACATATTCCAGAGCCAACACTCATGCCTTAGCCAGCCCCCAAAACAATGAGTCCCCTAAAGCCTTAGATATAAATACCCTGTGCATTGCTAAGCAGACACTTCAGGGAACAATCTGCTGGCTATGAAGAAGATGTGGTCTCAGTGGTGTGCCATAAGCTTCAGCTGCAGTCTTTGCTTGGCTGCCCATTAGAATCACTGGGGGAGCTCTTAAAAGATACAGCTGCCTGTCCCCCATCCCCCATCAACCAAATCCAATCTCTGCAGAGTGAAACCGGGTAATGCATTTTTTAAAAAGTTCCTTTGCTGATGTGTAATAATGGTTGAAAACCACTGCTTTATGCAGATACTTCCTGTGACTTATTTGTAGCCTTTTCTTATCTAGCAACTTCTAGAGACCCTCCCCATGGGCTGTGGGAACTAAAATAGGCAGGACCAGGCTTGGGGTGTCCTGGGACAGTGAAGGTAGAGCCCAGTTATCAGCTCAGAGGGACCCATTTTTGAGGCTGTTTAAGGCACCCACCCGTGGCTCAGCCCATCTGCAGGGGGAAAATCACACCCCTAGAACCCTACAGACCCCAAAGAAAGCATAAGTCCAGCAGCCACCTGCCAGGGTGGGCCCTTGAGTTCCATTCCCAGGGAAAGCTGACACTGCACTGCCAGCTCCCTCCAGCCCTCTCTCGGGTCCCAGGAGGAAGAGGTTCCTGACTAAGCTCAGAGGTCTGCACAAATGGAGGGTTAGGTTTCAGAGAGGTTATTAATATGCCTGCAGTCACCTCAGGAGTCCACCTGACTGGGGCCTCAGCCTGAGGCCGAGTGTGGAGAGGACAGCTGGGAGGAAAGGTGGGCAGAGTAGAAATGCAGGGAGGGGACCCTGGGGCCACAGTCAGGTATGGAGGGAACTGGGGGAGGAAGGGCGACCCCAGTGCGTGTGCTCCTCACAACCCCTGCACGCCTGCTTCCCTGAGCATTCAGGGTGAGGAGCTCACTCTTGCCCAGGAACTCCTGCCCTTCACCCGTTCGCAGGCTCTGGTAGGCTGGCCTGCTTCCTGCCCCTGCTCTACCCACTCTCCTCTCTTCTCACCATGCTGTTCCTGCCCTGCCTGGGATGACACCAAGTTGTAAAGCCTGTCTCTCCCCCTCCTCCAGGAAGCCTTCCCTGACCAGCATCTTTACAAACACCCGCCATGTCTAAAAGTCAGACCACTGCTATGAGCAAGCTGGTCTCGCTCCAATTTGCTGGGCACTGAGTTAACCGCTTGGCATGCGTTATTTCCTGTGATTAAAAAGGGAAGCAATTCTCATTAGCCCATTTTACAGGTGAGAAAACAGACACAGAGACATTATATAACTTGTTCACAGCACAAAGCTACAAGTGGTAGCTGGGTTTTGAATTTAGGTCTACCCATGCTCCTAACTTTGAGCTGTCCTCTCCCTTAGTGGAGGGTAGCATGTATAAAAGCTCAGTGAACCACAGAAGAGTTCTCTGAAAGATTCCCCAGGGACAGGTTAGCTGGCCTCACTACCAGGGTGAGCCCCCTGCTTAAGAGCTGGCTCTCTCGTTCCTCATTCCCCACTTTGAAGCTGACTTCAAAGACAGCATCGCAGGGACCAAAGAAACCCTGAACTCTAGGTCCCAAGCCTGTTTCACTAGGACTAGGCTTCCTCTCGTGGAAGGAAGAAGAAGAAAAGGGCTGAGCCCAGCTGCTTCTTAAGGAGGCAGAGTTGAGACTTGACCAACTCCTAGGCCAGACCAAAAAGAGCATTTCCCCTGTGATCTTGGAACAGGCCAATTTCAAGTCCAGTTCTTCTCTTGACCCCAGCTGGTCAGACTGAGAGAGGGGCAGGGGGACAGGGCAGTTTCTGCCCAGCAACTAGAGTTCCACGGCTGTCCTGCTGGGGCAGCTGGACAGAGGCCGCTTCCATATGAGTGTCTTTGACACAAGACAGCCTGAGGAGGTGAGGGGACCAGCACAGTGGCCTCAGGGAAAGATCCCAGGAAGCCTCGTCGTCACACCTCCAGCAAACTGCCACCCCCCTCAGTTCAGCCTTCAACAAGGAGCTCTGGGTTACCACGGAGATGGGAGAGCAAAGTGAATGAGAAGCGTACAGAGACAAAACGCCTGGTGGGAGGGAAGAGGAAGGCCCTGAAACCAGCCACCTGCCGCTCCAGCACACATGGCCCAGAGCAGCTGGCCTGGAGGGAACACTTGCCCTCCATGCCCTGCCAAAGGCAGCTTGGGCCCCCCCTTGGCGCTTCCTGTCTTGCAGAGCAGAGTCCATAGGCTTCTGGACACCTCCCGCCTAGGCCTGCCTCAGCCTCCTATGAGCACCAGCCTGGGTGACAGCACGTGCCTGTCCTGGGACCCCTCCAGGTAAAGGAGCTGTAGAGAGGGTGGTCTGGGTCTCTTCCACTGAACGATGAGTGACCTTCACAAAGCAGCAGCTGCCACACCCCCTCTCCCACCAGCATTCACTGCCAATCTTCTAAGTGCCAAGATCCCAGCTCAAGGTCTCAGTGTGGCTAGAAACAAACCTGCTCGTAGCAACCAGGTTCCCTCCCGCTCTCCCACTGCAGCATGTGCGCACTGAGCACACAATACCCTGGCTGTTCAACCTCCTTCCTCTCTCCCGAAACAAAGAAGCTCCCAACTCTCCCTCCAGCCCAGGCTGGCACCCTCTCAGTTTGAGGTGCTGCTGTCCAGACCATGTGTCACTCTCTGACTGGCCCCTGCTGGCCCCTCTCTTGGGCTCAGGGTTACCACGCCTGCAGGTACAGCCTGTAACACCTCTTCTTAACAGCATCTCCAGGAAGTTACTCAAAGCCATCAATTCCCCACAGATCCTCGGGGGACCTGGACCCCTTCTAGCCTGTCTTTCCATTTCAAAGCCACCCTGCCCTGAGCGGCCCCCAGGCTGGCTGCTGGCTGCAATGGGGGTAGATGCAGGTCCAGCCACTTGCCCACCCCCCTTCCCTGCTGCCCGAAAACCTTGCCAGCTATATTTAAGCCTGCTGCAGCCAGTCCCCGGCGGTGGGAAGGTACAGCACCTCCCCTGGAGGGGCGCTGGGTTACCATAGGTGCAGTTACAGCAGAAGCGAATGATGAGGAGAATTTCCATGGCCGCCTCTGTCCCTGCGGCAGGAGCGTGCAGCCATCGCTCCCAGCTCCCATCAGCAGCCCAGCCACTCGGCCACCTTGCTGGCTGCTGCTGCACAGCCTCTAGAACCAAGCAGCCGCTTCTGAGTGCTCTTCTAGCAAGGGGGAGGGGAGGGAGGCGCGTGGAGAGGCGAGGGGGGAGGGGGAGGCGAGGAGGGGAGGGGACCGCGCAGCCTGCTGGCATCCTAAGGAGGAGCACGTTTGTAGCTGGCCGGCTGCCTGGGGACGAGAGGCTGGATTCCTTGCGTGCACACGTGCACACACACTCACACAAGCAGGGAGGGCACTGTGTTCACACAGCCCACAGTCCACAAAGCCAGACAAAGGAAGGTGACTGTAATCCAGCCCGTTCCCCAAAGTACCTTCCATGGTGACTGACGTATGGCTGTCCTTGGAGTCCTTGGGACCTTTCACTTTGAGTTCCTGCCAAAGGGAGGAGAGGAATCACTACCTGGTCTGCCCCCCACCTCCCATTGTGAACATGACAGGAAGAGGGGCTCAGTGCAAATATGAGAAGAGAGACAAAGGAGATCTTCCTCGGCCTCACCACCTAGATTTCCTGTGAGCTCCTGGAGCCTGGTGGAGTCCAGTGGCTGGGGCGAGAGCAAAAGGAGGGGACTCTGGATACCAGACAGGACAGGTTGGTAGGGAGCACTGTGATAGTGGGAACCCCTCAGACCCATCCCCTAAAGCCCCTCCTCAACAACTTCAAGCACCTTCCAGAGACTGAACAGTGGCAAGAGCAGGATCCTACCCCCACAATCCCCCTAGCAGTCACTACTCAGGGATCTGTACACATCAGCCTTGGGCAGCCAGGGTTTGGACAGACAAGCACCAGGTGTACCAGCTGATCTTTGGGGCATGAGCAACCCTTGAGATAAGGAGGAGGGGTCCCACACACCTATGCGGGGGTTAGCAGGAGGGTGGCAGGCCTGAGGCAGAGATGCTACATCCTACCCATATCCAGAGGAACTCACCCAGCTCCCGCCCCACCTGACACTCCCCAACCACCTGCTCTCTGCTGGGCACGGAGAGGAGACTGCAAGGAAGGAACACCTCTGCTGGATCCTAAGCTAGGCAACCTGGTAGTGAGTGCTGGAAGCAGACTTCAGGGATGGCTTATCTGATCCAAACCTCTTCTATTTGCCTTAAGAGACAGAGAGCTTCCAGCCCCAGCCCTTGCTAACTGTATGGTATGGCCTGCGATTGGAGCTGTAAAGCAATCCCCACTTGGCAGGCTGAGTGCACAGAGCCCTGAAGAGGAATGTGGGCAGGAAGGCAGGGGGGCGAGGTAAGGCCAACGTTAGGCATGCAGGTGATTTTGCCTGCTCTGCCCAGGAGGGAGGAAACACCTAGACAGCAGGGGCCCACATTTCCTACTCCTTTCTCTAGACAGAGAAACCCCCAGGGACTGAGCTTGGGGTGTGCAAGTGAGAGGGGGTTATGGGGGGGGTGGTTACTCAACTTCTCCAGGCTGTGGCTCCGGCTGCTGCCTAGATTCCTAGCTGCAGGGAATTTTTGTCTACGCCCCCCTCCAGTGCAGCCTAGAGGTATGAAATCACTACTGCTGCAGAGGAAAAGGGTCTAATTGCAGTAATTAAGTGGCAGCACCACCAGGAAGCAGCAGCATCATCGAGTGAATCAGGATGAGAAGCCACCTGGCAGAAGGCCATGGGCCGGCTTTGCCCTCTGCAGTGTGTAGGCCTGGTGAGGGGCTTATGGATGGGTGCTGGGGTTTCTGCCCATGCAAAGAGAATGGGCAATCAGCCCAGACTCAGAGAAGACCCCACATGCCCTCTGGGCCATGTATGACTCTAGGCACCCAGGTGACCTTGGCAGGGCCACCTTGAACACTCTGAGCACAGATTGGGGGAGTCCAGTTTGTTCCCAGGGAGGGCTGGGAGCTGTTGGGAAGCACTATTTCTCCAGCCACATGAGTCCACATAGAGGGACTTCCCCATCCCTCCCTCTGTCCTCCTAGGCAGAGGGTGACTCATCTGATCCATGGGTTTGGGAGAAGAAACTGAGCTCAGCCCTCTTCTCTCTGCACCCTGAGTAAGAGCAGCAGCTCTGCTGCCATTGTGGGGAGGTGTCTGTGGCTTCCCATTCCTGCCAGGGACTCAATAGATACATTTAAGTGTTAATAAGCCCAGTGTGGCTACAGATTCAAATCCACATTTTCCAATCCGGCTTTTATTAGTAATCAAGCTGACATTTTCATCTCCATCTGTCCAACTCCTGTGCTGCCTCTCAGTTGATTCCAAACTTGGGCATAACCCATAACCCCCAGTAGTTTCAGGAAAATTATCCTGTGTCACCAACTTTTCTAGTATCCAAGCTGAGATGGGAAGAGCAAAGGGCCAAGAGAGGGTTTTAAGGCAGCACTTCCCAAACTGCAGAAAGTATCTCCCCTTCCCCAGAAGGAAAGGTTCTTTTGCCCTGAGCTTGGAGCTGGGTGCTATTCCTGCAATGCCAGTGGGTTAGGGGTGTCACTGAGGTCTTTTTGGATAAAGGGGTGAGCTAGGCTGTGCTCCTGAAGGATTGTATAGCAGCCATCCCCTCCCTGACACTCCCTGGATAGAAGTGCCCAATGGCAGATGATGCCACGCCTCTACCCCACAGAAGAGCATGGGAGAGAAGGATTAGCTGCAGTAGCAGAGACAGGCATGTTCCCCACCAGAGGGTCTAGAGCTTCTCCTCATAAGTGGTCCTTGCCTCCCTCTCTGTGGGATTTCAGTCTTAGAGTTGGGCAAGGATCTTAAAAGACTACCTAGTCCAAACTTCCTCGAATGTTGCTGATCAGAAAAAGCACCCGGAAGCTCGTTAAAATATAGACTCTTGGGCCCCACCCAAGCCTTCTGAATCAGAAATTCCAGGGAAGGTTCATGGAAATCTGCATTTTAAACAGTGCCCTGGTGATTCTTATCAAGCAAGTTTAGAATTACTATACAAGTCAAACATCTCATCCTACAGGAGAGGGAACAAAAGCCAAGAGAAGGGAAGTGACTTGTTCGAGGTCACCACAGTGTGAGAGAAGACAGCCTTTTTTTTTTTTTTTTTGCCTTCCCTGTTCCTCTCTCTAACCTGAAATAGAATTAAAAAAAAAATTTTCAAACAAATCGATATTCTTATATTAAGAGGGAAAATATCAGGCGCAAGAAAGCAAACGTCAGGCTGTGTTACCCATCAGGGTAACCACTTTCCAGACTGGCAAGCAAAGGAGGAGAGACTCAAAGCCTAGAAGGCTCTGAGCAACACCCCCACGGCCCAGTACTGTCGAGGGGCTGTGTGTGCAGAAAGCTGCCTACCTCTGAGATCTTCTGGAACTGGTTGTTGGACTGGCTGCACTTCTCAGCTGTCTCCAAAGCGACCTTATAGTTATCCACAAAAGCTTTGTACACACCAAGCTGGCTGGCCTGCAGGGAGGAGACAGAGAATGGAGAGAGGAGGGTGGGAGTGGGATGGGAGAGGATTAATGAATGGATGAAAGCACCTGGAGCTCCCTCTGTGCTCAGAACCTCTAACTCAGCTCCATAGGGCTAGCTGGGAAAGAGGGGAAAGGCAGGGATGAACATGTTACAGTATCTCTTTGAACTTGACAGTTGCCATGGAAACTGGCTCAGCCAATAAGGTTAACAAAGGGTTAGAAGGATGGATGGGGAGGGGCGGAAGGAGAGAGCAGGGCAGGGCCTTTGTTGGCATGCTGGAAATTCAACTCATCACATTTGGCTTTCTTTAGTATCATCAAGGTCTCACAGGTTTGAAGCCTCCTAACGCCTCACACCTCTTTCCCATCCTGGAATTAGCTGGAGCATGGGAATGGGGTGGGCACGTGTGGCCTGCTCAGTTCTCCAATGCCATACTGAGAGGTATAGCATTTAAAGGTGCAGTCTCTTCACTTCCTTCGGCTTCTAGGTGCCCGTCCCCAACTCCTCAGCTTCCAAAATGCTAAAACCCCTGTCTCACCACACATTTGCACATCACTTAGAACCTAACCCAAAGCTTTCCATGACTCATGGCCACATAGAGCCCAGCCTCTGCTTCAGAGGAAAGGCAGATCCATCACCCTTTCTGTAAAAGGGGAAACCAAGATTCATTAATTCAATTCCTCAAATATTTATGGACGGCCTTCTCTGGGCTATACATCTGCATTTCCTATTAAGGGAGCAAAGGTGGAAATTCAAATTAAAACCACAATGAAATACAATTTCATATCCATCAGAAGGGTCAAAATTTAAAAGTCTAATGATATCAAGGGTTAGCAAGAATGTGGGGAAATATGAACTCTCATGGACTGCTTCTGGGGGTGCAAATTAGTACAATAATTCAGAGAGCAATCGGTCAATAATAAAGTTGAACATTGGCACAGACTCAGCCTACTGCTTAGCAAATCTACTTCTACATACAAACTGTAGAGCTATGCTGTTCAATCCAGTAGCCCCTAGCTACATGTGGCTACTGAGCACCTAAAATGTGGTCAATACAACTTCAATTATGCTGTAAGGATAAAAAACACATTGGATTCCAAAGGCTGAGTATGTAAAAGTGGATGTAAATTACCTCGCTGATTTTTTAATACTGATCACATGTTGAAATGATAATATTTGGATTTGTGGGAATAAATGAAATATATTTTAAAAAATTAAATTCACCTTTTTATTTTTACTTTAAAAAATGTGACTACTAGAAAATTTTAAATGCTATATGCAGTTTGCAATGTTTCTCTTGCAATACGCCCAAGGTAATGTGAGCAAGAGTACTCACTGCTTCACGCTTCTTCCCAGTAGTGGAAGGGCTGGAGACAAATGCTCACAAATTGTGGAACCCACCTACACAGCCATTAAAATGAATGACCTACATGTATGTGTAAGAGCGCTGACAAATTTCAAAATGAATGTTGACTGAATTGCAAAATATGTACATACATATATAGGTTTACACACTTTAAAAGTACATGCAAAGCCATAAAAAGATATAGATACACAGTAAAAATACAAACTAAAGTTTAGAAGGCTACACACCAAATTCAGGCCAATACCTGCTTAAAGAGGAAAGGGGGACTGGCCAGTTAGCTCAGTTGGTTAGAATGCAGTGTTATAACAGCAAAGTCAAGGGTTCAGATCCTAGTACTGGCCAGCTGCCAAAAAAAAAAAAAAAAAAAAAGAGGGCGGGAAGGAGAAGGAAGGGAGAGACTTTACCTTTACCTATAATGCTTTATTGTTCTGATTAAAAAGTTTTGTCATGAATCTTTGGAGCTTAACATCTGTTAATTTTGGGAGGTGAGTACACAGCTGTCCGCTACATTATTCTCTAGATTTTCTGGTTTAAATTTTTTTCAGTGAAGTAGGAAGGGGGTACATACAGCTACTGCTGGGCTTCCTTGGGGGCTTCTGCAGAAAGCAGAGTGGACTGCCGCTGAGCCCACCCCAGACCACTCTGCTTCCTGCGGAATCCCTGTGCTCCTCCAGGACCCAAACACACTGCAGAGCAGGGCTGGCTGCAGCATAAACTGGGCCTGGATCCTCTCAGGGCAGAGACAGAGCCCTCCCAGGAAGATGGAGGGAAGAGGGAGTATCCAGGGAAGCCAGAGAGGACAGTGAGAACTGGGGAGAAGCCAATGCCAGAGCAGTGCAGATGTCAGCCCAAGGGGACATATTTTCCAAAAAGAAATAGGGGAGAAGCAAGAAGGGACAGAACCTATTTCCTTTTCCAGTGGGAGCAGTGCTCCATCAGTGCCCCAAGCTATAGGAGATGTGCTAGACAGTCACTTCCTAAGCCAAAGTACAAATCATTGACAGTCTTCTTCTAGGAAAGGACTCTCCTTCCTCACTTTCTCACAAGAAGGATAAAGCCTGGATGCCCAGGTTAGCACACTACCCTCCTGTGAGCCAGGAGCAGGAACCACCGTGCAGGGCCTGTGTGCAGCGGCACGAGCCACCTCAAGCACTGCCATCTCCACAATCACCCTAGGCTACAGGGCCCGAGGCCTGGCCTGCCAGGGTCATTAACTGGGAAATGGAGGTTGCTTGGAAACAGCAGCTTGGCACTGGGGTGATCTCATAAAACAAACAGCAGATCTGCTAATTCCCCTCTCTCCGTAATGAATAATCAAATATCCAGAGACTTCAGCTGAAAATAAACTGCCTCCAGATGCCCAGCCTGCCCTGGCTCCACCCTGTCCCTCCCAAGCCTGCAGTCCCAGGGGCCTCAGACATCAGTTCATGATGCCGGGGAGGGAAAGGGGATAGCAAATTCATGACCAGGCCCATGAGACCAGAAGAGGAGACCCTTGTGATAGGAGGGTCCAAGTGATGCAGACACACTGGGACTGCCTTTCAACTATGCTCCCACTACTTGCTCTCCCACCCTTTGTTTGCTCTCTTCTGCCCTCCTGGGCTGAGAAGATGCTGCCCCCAAGCCAATCAGCTCTCTTGGGACCAGAGGGTGATAAGGGGATGTTCACCATACCTGAACTAGGGGAAGCATGTAGGGGTGCTAGAACCACGAGTATGGAGTCCCTTTGAAATGATGCCTTCTGGGTGCCTCTTCCTAATAACAGTAATGATAATGGCTAATTACTGAGTATTTATTAATTTCTGATGTTCCAGGCCGTGCTCCAAGCACATTCAGGTATTAACTCATTTACTCCTCTTAAATCCAATGAAGTAAATATTATCATCATCCTCTTTTTACAGTTGGGGAAACTGAGTCAGAGAGAGACTGAGTAAGTTGCCCATTCACAGGTTTAATCTGTGGCAGAGCTGGGATTCAAACCTGGCTCTAGAAGCTGTGCTTGTTCCCATAATACACAATACTGCTGGTCCCAAGAGGGATCTCAGGACACAGACCTCAGGCCCTGTGATGTCTCCCTCAATGTCCTTCCAAATTCTCCCTAGACCCAGTGGTCAAGGTCATGGTGCATCCATTCATTTATGTATCAACCACTGGGCAGGTTCTGGGGGTCTAATGAGAAGGAAATACAGTCTGTCCTCTGGAGCTGATGGTTTGGGGAAACAGAAAGTTGCAAGTGCTCATGAGGGAATAAGCACAAGGGACTACATTCAAGCAGCTGGGGGAGGACCCTTCGGGCAGATGGAACTGCAACTAGAGAGAGGTCAGAAAGCGCCTGCAGTGTGAACTGAGAGCAGAAAGTCCAGTGTCAGGCACAGAGGGTGGCGGGAGGCCAGCATGCAAAGGTTCTCATAAGCCTTGCTCTTCAGGTAAAGGATCCTGGCCTTTACCTGATGGGCAAGGAGGAGCCACTGAAGGACTGAAGCAGGGGAGGAGCAAGGTCAGACTGAGGGTTTAGATGACTCTCTCCTGCTGCTGGGTAGAGGGGGGAGGCGGAGGGGGCAGGCCTGGAGGGAGGAGTCACTCCTGAGGCTGCGGCAGTGGCCCAGGTGAGGGTCAATGGTGGCCGAGAGGAAGGACACCAGAGGGGTGGAGAGAAGTAGGTGGCTGTGAGCGACATCAAAGAAGTGGATTCCACAGGTGGAACCTGGGGGTGAGGGAGAGGGGGTGGAAGGAGTGGGGAAGAAGAGGCGCCGAGGACCAGCCCAAGGCACCCACTGAGATCGAGCCAGGGAGAAGAGCAGACACCTTCAGAGACAGAGTGTGGTTTTGAACATGCTGAGCTCCAGGCCCCAGGTGTGGCCAAGCAGGACTTTTCTCCAGTGTACAAAAAGCAGAGCCCTGTCCCTCAGCTAGTCTCAGGGCAGGGAAGGAAAAGGAGGAGCGTTGTTCCCTGCTCCCCGACCATTCCCACCTGGAGAACCACCACTGACTCTCAGTCTCCTTCTCGACTGTTGGGCTGTCCAAAGTTATGGCAGAGCCCAGGGAGCACCGGGTGAAGGGCTCTGTGGGTCTGACCCGGCGCCTCTCCAGGGCACACAGCCAGAGACAGAGGCAGAGCTATGGGAAACGATGCCATGGAGGTACAGATGCGAGTCTGCACGTTAATCCTATGTCTTCCCTGCAATGGTGGCTGGGCTAGGCTCTTGGCGCTTTCTGCTCTCAGGACCTCAGGGGAGAATCATTAGCTGATGCAGTCTCCCATCCAACTGCTTCATTTTACAGAGGCAGCGCTGAGATGTAGTAAATCCCTGAGGTCTCAGGTGAGCAGTTCTTGCCCCCCCAACCCTGCACATGCCCCTCTGTCTGCTGATGGACAGGGGACCTGAAGCCCAGCAGGAGAGCCTTCATTCCAGTGCTGGCTCCAGAGAGTCCTCATGGGAGAGAGAAAGAGTGCTCTCCCAGAGGGAGCACCTGGTGTCAAGGGACCAGGTGCAAGTGCCCCATAAAGCACGGGCCCAGGCATTCCCCTGGGACTCACATGTCAGCACCACGCTCACCCAGTGAGCTAACAGGTCATCCCTATATGGGATCCGAACCCATGGCTTGGGTGTTATCAGCACCGCACTCTACCGAGTGAGCCACGGGCCGGCCCCCTGGGACTCACATGTGACCCAGGCCTTGAAGAATGGCCAAGAGGGCTGCAGCTGACCAGTCCTCTCCCAAAGCCCTCTTCCAACACCAGCAGCTTTACTGAAGTTCTGCATGAGGACCCTACTTCCTTGGGAAACTCACCAGCTTCTGGAAGAGGTGGCCCATTGTGACCTGGCTGTCCCACTGCTGCACTTTAGGGCAGAGGTTGTCGTAGAACTCCTTGTGGATCTCATAGATGTCCTGGATCTTGTAGAAGATGGTCTCAATCTGCTGGATGGTGAGCACGGGCTGGGAGGTGGTGGCTGTGGCCTTGAGGGGTTTCATGGGCTGGGAGAGGGAAAGAAAGAAAGTGGAGGTGGAGGTAAGTAAACCAGATTGTCAGCAGGCCCAGGGCAGATCAAGGCACTGATTAGCCCTTCCTGCTTCCTGAGTCCTGCCTAGACAGGGACACCAAAGGCAGGGCACCTGAAGCTCCTGAAGCATGGTTTGTATCAAGGAGCTGCTGTCACAGGCCCTGACAAGCCACACGCAAGTGCAAGGAGAGGGAACCTGACAGCCGGAAGCCGGCCCTGCAGCCCTGCCAGGCCCAAGGGGTGGGGCCAGAGCACACTCCCCCTAACACTCATCTAAGCTTGACAGCATCTGGCCCATACCAGGTTCACTTGATTCAAGAGGATCCATGTCTTTCTTCCACAATGGCCTCATTTCCTGAGTCATATGCTTCCTTATTGCACTTCAGTGGAAGGGAGGGTTGACTGGGAACTCAACCCTTTAAGCCGTTTCCTTTTAAGAAACAGAACATGGTTCTAGGACTCAGAGGGTAGAGTCTTGAGGAGACTCTGAAATATCACTGACACTTCAATTTCCCATCACTTATTCTACAGGAGGAGGGACAGGTGGCACACATACCACCCTCGCACTTCCCACACCTGCAACTGACTGCTAAGGGACCATGGTGATCCTTCCCACTGAGCATGCTTGTAGTTGCAGACTTTCTCAATGCCAGGGTTAACCTAAAAATAAAACTCCAGGGCCTGCAAGTGGAGAGGGTAAAAGGCACTCAGGACCATTCCCCAGCACTGGCTGGGAGCTGAAGCCATCACCGTAATGCCCAGCAGTAGGACTGTGGGATAATGATGCTCAGGTACATTTTCTTCAGTGTGATTCTCTATATTCTCTAAATCACCTACAATGAGTACATTTTAATTTTTATAATCAGAAAACCCGAAAGATGCCCAGATTGTGCTACAAAGGCCCTGCAGGAGACAGGGTCTGGAAACCTGCCAGAAGAAGGCACGAGAGGGGAGGGCACATTTACCTGGAAGAGAGAAGCCTGAGTCAGATATGGTTGATGTTCTTCATCTATTCAAAGGCTGCGTGGAAAGAGGCCTTAGGCTTGGTCTGGGTTACTCTGCAGACCCAGCAGTAATGGGGAATAGTTATAGGGTCAGGTTTGGGCTCACTAGAATTGTCCCCCACTGTCTCACAGAATTAGGCAATGAGCTTTCTGACAAGAGCAGCATTCTAGCAGAGAGTGGGTGACTCAGCTGCTGAAAACGCTGGACTAGAGGGAACACCTACACTAAGGGAGACCGAAGCTGTTGCTGGCTCCCTCTGAGTGACGACCACCAGCTCGAGCCAACCACAGCAGCCAAACTCCCAGCCTAGCTTCCCTGCACCCTCCCATCTGCCTGATGGTGATGGCGGCAGAGCCCAAGTTTGCCCACAAGAGGAAGTCTTGTCTACTCAAATACCCAGACAATGCTCCGACTTCTGGCTCCCTCGTCCGAGCTCTACAAAGTCCAGGTATGATAATAAAGGCAGGAAAAAGCAGAGCCCCTCCCTCCTACCCTCTCAGAGCTAGAACCAACTGACCCTCAGCATCCAGTCCTTGCTAGGGAAGTAGGATGGGGTTCAACCTGGTGCAGGCCAGGCAGCATGGGTCTGAGGCCCAACTCTGCCACATAATAGCTGTGGGCCCGTCACTTAGCATCTCTGGGCCTCAGGAGCCTGCCTCATTTGTAAAACTGGGACAATACTGTCTTCTCAAGAGTACTGATGGAAAGCTCAAAAGCCATAATTTTCATAGAATATCTAGTATGTGCCTGGCACAAAGAGGGAGGGCAGTCAACAAATGTTAGTTGATACTATTCTTAGTATTCACCCTACCGAAAATATACCAAGCACCTAATGTGAGGCCAGAACGGGGGTATACACAATCCCTGCCCCCATGGAGCTTCCCATCTACTAGGGGACACAGACACAACACAAGTAAACAATCAAACATGTAATTACACACAGCAGTAAGTGCAATAAAGGAAATAAGTGGGGGACCCTCCTGGAGGAGCTTCTCCAAGGAGGGGACATTTACCCTGAAATGGAAAGCACTGGGGCCGGGGGGGACAGTACTCCAGGCAGACGTCCTCAAAGCCTGGTCTGAGGCAGGAACAGACTTGGTGAGGGAGAGGAGGGGAAAGCCAGCCAGTGCACCTGTGTGCAGTGGGCAAGGGGGAGGAGAGAGGCCTGAGGCAGGGATGGAGGTATGGGCAGGGCTGGTCACATGGGGGAAGGAGTGTGGCTTTTAAGCCCCTGCAATGACCTGGCTTTCCCTGGAGGGGTTTAGGCAGGGGAGTGATGGGGTCCAATTTTCTTTTCAGGAGATTATTCTTATGATCTTGAGAAATTTTATAATCTCTTTGTGTAAAATGGGCCAATGCAAATGAAACAACTTAGTGCACAATGCAAGATAGGATAGGATATTATGCAACTTAAACTGTAAATCTCAACCAAGTGGTTCCATGGTTGTGCTAGAGCCGCTATGAGGGCTTCACAGAGGAGGTGGACAGAAATGGGGCCTTCACGGAGGTTGGGAAGATTTGAGCAGGTGAGGGTGGTGGGTGGGCAAGCACGTCAGGCAGGAAAATAGAAAGAACCAGGAGCCAGGAGAAAGGGAATACTGTCTTCCCAAGCCCAGGTGGGCAGGTTGGGAGCTTCAGGGACTTCCAACACTTTGAGAAGAATACAAAGCCCACCTTCAGGATCGATGTCTTCACTTCTATGCACAGCCTAATGGAAGTCAGCATAGCATCCCAGAACCACTAATACTCATCCCTGCCTTGGTGCAATCCCCACAGAAGAGGGAATAAAGGAAACAGGGAGGGAACAGTCCCAGGAAAGCAGAAGGGATAGGACTTCTCAGAAGCCGCAGGGGGAGCCCTCGTCTGCCTCCCACGCAAAAACAAGACACAATGGTTCTGCTTCCTCCTAAATCCCCCACTGTCTACAAAAGGGGAAGAAACGGATGCTCACCCATGGACAGTCACATGGGGGGTATTCACTCGCCCATCACATGGTTCTCACGACAGGATGGGAAACCTTTGCCCTTACCCCTGGTTTCACCTGGGGGGACAGTTATTTCTATCTGGTGAAGCCCCACATTCCGGCCTCCAGGGCAGGAGGGAGGGCTGGAAGGCAAGACAACCCATACTGAGCTCTGACCCAGCATTGCTCTTCTGCCAAAGTGCTGTTGCACCCCAACCTCCTCCTCTTCCCAGAACCCACTGCAGGGGGCCAGGATAGCCCCTGGCTGTGTTTCATCAGGGAAGAAACGGATTCTTAGAGAGGATCCCTGTGCAACCTCAGAGTCAACCCTGGCTCTCGATTTCCCAGCCCAAGTGCTTCTCAGGAAGACGGGGCTGGGCCAGTTCTGACCTGACTTGCCAGTGGGACTTTACACAGCCATTTGTCCCCCAGCAACTGGCCTTTCGAAACAGGGGAAAGAAATCTGCCCACTTCCTCCACCTCCTCCCCAAGAAGTCCTGGCGGCTGCCAGACACATTTGCTAACCTGTCACCTCAGTTACTCCTCATTAACCTGTTTTACAGATAAGGAAGCTGACGCGCAGCAGGACTATGAACTCCACAGCAAACTGCCAGAATAAGAGCCTAAGAGAGGTGGTCAGGTGTGGCTGTGGTGGGAGGGGCTGTGGGCAATGGCCCTGCACCCTGTGGTCCCTGCACAGGCAAGATGCAGCACCTGAGCTCATGACCCAGAGCTCGGGAGATGTGGCATCACAACACATTTGACGAGGTCACACGCATGCAGGGTGGTATGGCCGCAGACTACAGTGCATTTGGTTTTGTCTTCCTTCACCCCCACCTCGGCCCAGGCTCCCAGACCTTACTTGTAGTCTGAGCCCACCAGGAATCAGGAGGATTATAGGAGATTACCAAACCTCACCCCAGCCAGCAACCCAGGAGGCAGGAACGGAGGCTCCTATGTGGAGTCCCTGTCTGCCTGTGTGTGTACACAGTCTTAGGTACACACACCCAGCCCTGTGCATATCAGGAAGTGTTAAGCTGAAAATAGACAAGCACATTAGGAGCAGAGGGGTAGGAATGGGGTGGGAGGGGGAGCAAGCAGGGAAGGGACAGATTTTCTTCTCCTTTGAGCCAGCCGCTTTGTCAGACCACCCTGAAGAGCAGAGGGTTTAGCTCCCTGGTAGCTGAGAAAGGAGGGCTCCCAGCTCTTGGAGCAGAGGAGGGAGGGCTTGATTCCTTCTCTCTCTCTGAGCTTCATCATCTGAGGCTTGGCTGGGGAGGTCCTGCCCACTCTTCCTGAGCCCTCCAGCCACAGACTTGGCCTCCCAACTAGTGCCTCCCCCACTCCCTCTCTCTGGCCTCTGCTCAAGAAAGAACCAAGCAGGGCCCTGGATGAACAAGTTGTGGGAAGAGGAGGGACCTGTCCTGGTGCACCTCAGGATTGGGGGCTCTAGCCTCAGTTTTTACCTTTGGGGCATGAGCTGTTAGAAAGGCAAGGCAGGGAGGAACTGTCTTGGCTCCTAAATCTGTTATCTTTGCCCACATCAGGAGGCCCAGTGACTGCAGGTTGGAAACTAAGAGTGGCATGTCCTGATGAGGACAGGCGCCTCCCCCACCTTCAGGGAAAGGGTGTGTTGCCAGAAGTAAATAAGCCCTAACCTGTCTTCTCTCCCAGCACTAGAGAAAATAACAGTATTAGCTAACACTTACGCTCTGTTCTAACAGCTTTATATACAAATTCATTTAATACTCACAACAACCCCAGGAAGAGAGTATACCCAGTCTGCAGATGGAAAATGAGGCACAAAGGCTCATTTATCTGCTGAAGGCCTAGAGCTAATAAGTAGTCAGTGGGCATTCACAGTCAGGCAGTCTAGTTCCTTTGTCTGAACTCCTTTCAAATGTGCATCCTGGTAGTAAAGACAGCTATGCCCCCTTTTTTGGTATAGCAATTCAGTTTATAAGGTGTATTTCATACATGGATGAATAGTAGTCTGCCTGTCCTCCTTCCTTCAGCTAATATTTGAATGTCTTAAGTATCCAGCATTGTGCTAAGTCCCCAAAAGGGTCAACTGGTCTTCTCAACCCCATGAAGAGAGAGAAGGTAATGGTATTGTCATCTTCAGGTGAGAAAACTGAGGCTCAAGGAGTGTATGCACAGGTTGCCCAAAGCCAGTGGTTTTCAGGGCCGGCCCGGTGGCGCACTGGAGAGTGCGCCGCTTGGGAATGCAGTGGCCCTCCCGCCGAGGGTTCGGATCCCATGTGGAGACCGGTTCCCGCTCACTGGCTGAGCACAGTGCGGGCGCAACACCGAGGGTTGCGATCCCGTTACCGGTCAGTAAAAAAAAGGAAAAAAAAAAAAAAAAAGCCAGTGGTTTTCAAACTCACAATACATGTAAGAAATAATGTGGCCCAGTACACGCATCCATACTCATACACACAAACATACATCTACAGACGACAGACCAACATTTCGTGAAACAGTACTTGCCCTTTCTATGTGTGATGCATGCTATTTTCTTTTTCATTTGTTTTAAAATGCTAGTTCAACCCACTACACTGATCTCAGAACCCACTAATGGGCCAAGATGCACTTTGAAAAACAGTGTGAGAAGCCTACTATTAATAGTAGAATCTAGTCTTACTCTAGTTCTGGTCCCAGACCAGAATCCTCATCTACCTGCCATACTGTCCATCACTTGGAAAACATAACTGTGCATAACAATTAACTCCTGTGAGACCTAACACAAACAAACTCAGCCCAATGTGAAATGCCAAGTCTCCTGGGATACTGAGTGACAACATCTCATGTCACGGCAAGTACATAGCTGTGTGTCTTACAATTCTTGTAAGAATGAGCTTCTACTGATCTACACTTATATTTCTTTCCTCTTCTATTCTTTTAAAGATGACCAGTAAGGGGATCTTAACCCTTGACTTGATGTTGTCAGTACCACGCTCACCCAGTGAGCTAACCAGCCATCCCTATATAGGGATCTGAACCCACGGCCTTGGTGTTATGAACACCACACTCTCCCAAGTGAGCCACAGGCTGGCCCCTTACACTTATATTTCTTATTCTCCCTTTTTCTGGTATTATCTTAGTCTCAGCCTGCAAAACACCTAGAGGAGAGAACTTTATATGCCACAATCACTCTCCCTAATATCCAGACGCACCTAATATGCACTTTCATCAAAACATCTTACATCTGCGCAGCACTTTTATCTTTAGATTCCCAATCTGATTCTTACAACAAGGCTTCCACCTTGGAAAGGAAATCGAGGCATCTTTAGTGAGGGCTGAGGTTGGTTTAATGCCTTAGAGCTATGGTGCCTCTCAAAACAGCACAGACAGCCTCCCACCTCATGTTTCCTGACCCAGGGCTTCAGGACGGTACTAACAGTTCCCTTTGTCAGAGAGGAGAAAGGTCTTGGACCAGGAATTATGAAGAGGGGTCAACTTGATTGACTAGTAGAGACTGCCCAGAGCACAGTGAGGGGGAAGTGCTAGGCCCCCACCTGGACAGAGGACTGTACGGTTAGTAATGCCTGTGCCAGGTCCAGGGCGATGGGAGTGTCTGCCTTCCCTAGCCTTGGTGTGCTTTGTCTCCTGCCTTTCCCAGAGTGGGGTAATGGAGAGTCACAACTGAGAAGCAAGATTTTTCCTGGCAATGACCCCGGCTGCCCCACACCAGCCGTAAGCACAGCAGCCCCACAGACTGTCCACAGGGAAGGACTGGTGCAGGTCCCCCTCCTCTCCAACTCCAAAGGCAGTTTTAGAGCATGACATTGTTCAACGAGGGGACCAGAAGGCCCCAGAGCTTCTACTCACCAGCAGCAGGGCTTCCAGCTGGTTAATGTAGATCTCTTCACTGGCCAGGAACCCCGACAGAACCAACTTCCTCATCTCCAGGCCTTTCCCTGCTTCCACCTGCACACAAGCAAACAAACAGCAGCAGCTCATGAGAAAAGAGCCAAAATCCCAAGGGGCCTGTTTCCTTTTCCTTGCCTTTTCTCTCTTCTTTTAACTAACATGTTCATAGGGGATAAAAGCAAGATACTTTATAGAAAATCTGGAATAGACAGAAATATAAAAGGAAAAACAACCACTCCTATCCTTACTGCTAACATCTTGCTTTGTTTCCCTCCCAACTTTTTTCCACATTTCCTTATTTGATACTCATCCATCCATCTAACCATTCATCCATCTATCCAAGGAGCCAACCTTATAATCATGTGCAAGATGACAAAGGACTTGCCCTCATGACTGGTGGGCAGCTTAGCGAGGGAGGGGGATTTAAGATGGAAAATCAGAGTCATGCCTGAGGCAGGGCGTGGTCACAGGGTAGGGCACAGCAGGGGCCGGAATCTAAGTCCGGGAGACAGAGGGGGCTCCCAGAGGAAGTGATGTATAAACTGACAGAAACAGGGGTAGAGAGAATGGGATGAAAATGGGTGTGGGAGCCCAGCCTTGTGGCCTTCCAACTACACTTCCGATGCTGTCTTCCTGTCCCCACGGGGCTCAGCCCAACAGAAGCTTCTGGCTGTGGCCCCTCAACCTTACCCCTGTCCTGCCCCCTCATCCCAGCATTTCCTGATAGTCTCATTCTGTAAGGCACAGACCCAAACTAGCCTCCTCCTCCTCGTGCCCTATTTAGCCTTGAATGCCCATCAACTGACACAGCACCTGGCACAAAGAAAGAAGCCAAAAAATTTTCCTCGGTGAAAAAACATAATCTTTGTCATCCAGGATCCCCAAGAGTCCTTCCTGGCCCCTTTTCCCTTCTCCCTCCCCTCTGCCACATTTAGCCCCCAAGCCCTTCAAAGCGTCCTTGCTAATCTCTCATTCCACCGCACCCCTCTGCTGTGGCACCCCTCTGCTGTGGCACCCCTGTGCTGTAGCAGCCCTCTGCTGTGGCACCCCTCTGCTGTGGCCGAGGCCCAATGTCCCACTCCGACACCTGGATTCTCCTAACTGACCCCTAACTCTCTCTCCCTCTCTCCTCCCTCCTTTCCACACACCAGAGCTACCTCAGTCTTCTCAGAAAACCACCTTACTTAATGCTGGTCCAGGACTTAATGCTGCAAAATGGGGTTATTTGGGGGATCCAATTAGGTTATTTGTTCATTTATCTATTCACTCAACAAATATTTACTAGGCCCTGTGAAAACAAGCAGATAATAGTCCCTTTTCTCATGCGGCTTACAATCTAGTGGGAGAGAGAAAGACATTTAAACAAACCAGGGAGAAATTACATGATCATAAACTCTGCCATGAGGTCCAATACATCCTTTACTCAAACACCTGCAGTGGCCCCTAGAGCCTCTCCCTACCCTTACAATCTCCCCCGCAGCCTGAGATTTTTGTCTTCCCAACATGCCAGGAGTGTTCAGCCTCTGAAGTTTGGTTCTTGCTCTTCCTGCTGCCTAAGATGTCCTCTCCCACCCTGGCTCTTCTCTTGTCTAAATCCCACCTCTCTGTAAAGGCACAGCTCCTCAAGTCTCCCCGAACCATCCCGGCCTGCAGAAGCAACCTCAGCACCTGACCTGTGTTCTACCTTGTTACCTGCCTCGGGGTGAGACCCCTGTAACACCTGCCCCACACTCCTCTTCCCTGAGGCCCAGCACCACGTGATGCACCTAGCATGGGCCTTCATTAAGGCTTATAAGTCCTTTTCATTTAGCCCACAAACACTGCATTGAGGCGGGTACTATTATTTCCCCATTATAGAAACGGAAAAAGCAAGACCTAAAAAGAGGGAAGATAATAGCCCAAATCACATGGCCAGGAATTGGCAGAGCTGGGATTCTCTACCCCGGGTCCTCTAACATCAAGTTCTGTGCTCTTCCACTGCTCTGATGATTTCCTCACTCTCATATTCCTTTTTCAAGCATTGGATGCTCATCTAGAATCTCAAACAGATCCCTTTCTGCACTTTGAATGTACATCCTTAACAAAGGCTGGGAGAGTGTATGAAGCCATCAGAAATCTCGTAAGCCCCAGAAGAGTTGCTTTCCCAGTGTAGATAACCCACCCTAGTGTGTCCTCACAAAGTTTCCCATATGCACCTTCTTCCCACCCCTTCTCCAGGTGAGGAGCTTAATCCTGTCTCTCATCAGCAACTGGACTGGCAGATCTGTGCTGGAGGCTGCTACACCCAAAGTCTATGAAATATTATCTGACCCTGTGGTAGACAGAACACTGCCCCCGCCCCCCGCGCTGCCAAAGATATCCACATCCTAATCCCTGAAACCTGTGAATATGTTACCTTATATGACAAAAAGCACTTTGCAGAGATGATTAAATTTGAAATGAGAAGATTATCCTGGATTATCCAAGTGGGCCCTATATAATCACAGGGGTCCCTATAAGAGAGAGGGCTGGCCAGTTAGCTCAGTTGGTTAGAGCATGGTGCTGATATCATGGTCCAGAGTTTGATCCCTGTACCAGCCAGCTGCCAAAAAAAAAAAAAGAGGGAGGCAGGAGGGTCAGAGTCAGAGAAAAGGCACTCTGACAACAGAAGAGGAATGAGAAAGAGAGAGAGGAATTGATTGGAAGGTGCTACACTGCTAGCTTTGAAGACAGAGGATGGGGCCAGCAGCCAAGGAACGCAGGTGGCTTCTAGAAGCTAGAAAAGGCAAAGAAACTTAGAGCTTTCAGAAGCCATGCAGCCCTATTGACCATTTTTAGACTCCTGTATAAGAGAATAAATTTGTGTTGTTTTAAGCCATAAAGTTTGTGACAATTTGTTTCAGCATCATTAGGAAACCAATATGGACTCCAGCTTTAGGGAAGGATAGTAGTTATAGATAGCTTCCCAAGTACCAGGAACTGTGCTAAGCACTTTTGATGGATCATCTCACTAGAATCTCACAATCTGGTAGGTATTATCACATCCCCCTGAGGAGCAGACAGTGGAAACTGCTAGCTTCCTGGAGCTGTACCCAATGGCAGGCAGACAGCACAGCACCCAGCACACCCTCAGGGAATGAGATCAGAGCTCATAGCAGGGGCCCTAGTCCCAGCCACTCAAGGTCAGACCCTAGGCAGCCTCCCTGCTGCTTCCCAAGCCTGACAAATGGGGACTCACACTGGGGACCAGCACGGCACCCCACTCCCTTCCTGTTTCCTGCCAACCAAGGATTTGCCCAAGGGTGTGGCAAACACCTTCTAAAGGAAAGTACTTGAGACACACACTGTGAGCTTAACTGAGAGCTGGCTGGACTAGGACAGGGTGAAGAACTGGTGACTTGCAGCTGCAGCCCCAAACACACCTGTACCCACCCTGGCATGAGAAAGACCCCTCAGCCCCTGTGACAGCCCATTTAGCAAGACCCTCCCTTCAAGACTCCCACCTCATAATCTAATTCCCTGGTTTTGAGGTGAAAATAGCTCTGGAAAAACCACCCCCAAAAGGCAATAGTCACCCCCAAGAGTCCCCACTCTGGACTACATTCACTCTGAAGTTTTGGCTGGGATAGGTATAGAGGTGTTAGAGAGTTTAATGAATGATATGAAATTCAATTCTGCATATTTTACTAATAGGAGGCCTGCTGCTCAGTTACTTCTTCCATCTTCCATCTTTTCTTTGCTTTCCTCAGACACCCCCATGTTCTTGGCTTAGAATTGTCTGGAAATTTGCAATTGTTTCTTCAGTCCTTGTGGGGCTATTCTTGTCTCATGAAACACCAGGGCTCAATAGTCATTCCTTCCTTCCCCACCATGTGCCAGGCACTGGGAATACAAAGGTGGAGGAGACAATCTCTGCTCTCAAGGAGTTCTCCAGAATCCCCTCTAAAGAGTTCAGGGCCATGCTGCCTGCCAGCCCCCCAGCATAGGAGAGCTGCCTTCTGAGTGGCACTGTCCCCACTTCCTCCCAAGCAGTGCTTATGAAACTCAGCCCCAGGGGGCTCATTCATCCCCAGCACTTCACACAATCTGCTAGGCTGAAAGTTTGTCAGCTTGTGGTCCCCAAATCAAAAATGTCAGGTCATTCTGGTAAGGACAGTATCTACAGATAAGGCTTGGCCAGCTCTGGGCTGGTCTTCCACAGAGTTTAGAGGCTAAATAAAGCTCCCAAAGGTTTGGTTCTAGGCCAAGCCAAGAGACAATCTCTCCAGGAGTCTTGACTTTCTCCAAGAGCACAGTGAGGATTAAATAGGAAGGGTTGGCTTGCTGGCCACAATTCAAAGACAGAGGCCAAGCAGCAAGGGTCTGAGACTCTACAGACAGCAGAATTCAGCCAATGGGCCAAACCAGTTTGCAAGGAACACCCAGCAGAATCTGCTTGGGGGTTGTGCCCATGCCTAGGGGCTTCCACCCATGCCTAGCATCAGCCTCAAGACAGCTGGCCCCCTCCCAGCTGAGACAATGCAGGGGCACCCAGAGATTCTCTCCTCTCCCCAGTCTGTTTCCTTTAAACTCCTCAGCAGAATTTAGAGCAGAGAGGACAGGGGCACCTACTGGGGGACAAATACCAAATTCCAGCTGCCCCTCTCTCCTAAAGGGTGGATCCCTGTATTCCGGGCTCCCTGCTGCTGTCAAAAGCTTTAGGCAGGCCCCATGAGGTCCAGGCATTGTTTCCAAACTTCAGTTGTCCACATCCCACCTTTACAGTTTTGCCATACTCACATAGCATCTGCACTATTATTTACTTAATATTGTTTTTTACAACTGACTTTTAAAAAGCATTATATCTGAAATCATAGGAAAGATGTGCAAGTCATATTTTTTCTAATATACATTAAAATATATACTTGGGCTGGCAGGTTAGCTCAGTTGGTTAGAGCACAGCCTTGTAACACCAAGGTCAAGGGTACAGATCCCCATACTGACCAGTTGCAAAAAAATAAAAGAAAAAGAAAAAGAAAAAATATACACATACACATACTTAACTATTAAAGTCTAAAATACATCTCCAGGTGCCACCTAAAGTCACCTCCCAAATCACCACATATGTGGCCCACACTTGGGGAAACACCCAAATGGGGATACAGGCATGGCCATCATCATTTAGGAAGGTGAAACAGAAATACAGGCATTTCAGACAATCCATTAAAAATTGGCACAGAATAACACCTGAAGGGTTAATCTCTATTACAAAAGGGTTTTTATTTCTGACAAATGAGTTCCTTTAAATAGCAGCTTCTAAAAGGCCCCTATCAGCCCTCCGTACCTTTAAATAGAATTGTATGAAAGATTTTTGGAAAGTATACACCACTTTACAGATGGGAGGAGATACTGCTATCAGCATTTGCAGCTTATAGATCATTACCTCCTCAAAGGGAAGTCTGGGTTGCAGCAAACTCCAGCTACAGCTCTGGAGAAAATCACAGCCAACTTCACATCTATTCCCCAGGAAGATAAAGCATCTCAGAAATTACACTGAAAACAGGATTGATTTATAAGACTAGCATTTGGGCATATGCTCAGGAACACAACTCCTGTTTAAGGTAAGTAGTCCTGAAGTAAAGTAATAGCAAAGAGAGAATTGCCTTGGATTCCTACCAGCTGCCACAGAGGAGCGTGCCAAGACCGTCCGCAGTCCAGGACAGGAGTACGCTGTCCAGAGATGCCCCTTGGCCATACACAGGTGCACGCACACATGAACACATATGCACATGCACGTGCACACACTCCCAGTCTATCCCTGACTCAACTAGAAGTGGTCTCCTCTGAATGTGGGACCCTCTATGGGAACTCTTCTCATGGCCCTGGCTACTTTCTCACCATATTCTTATTACCTGTGCATTTGGCCCTTGCTCTGAACTCCTGTGAGAAAAGACCATGCCTTGTTGATTCCATCTCTTCCACAGAGCCAGGCAGAGAGTTTTGAATAAAATACAACCTGACAGTTTGTTGAATCAATCAAAAGGCTTTCTTCTGGGGCCAGCCCGTGGTTTACTTAGGAGAGTGGGATCCCTATATAGGAAATGGCCAGTTAGCTCACTTGGGTGAGCGTGGTGCTGACAACACCAAGTCAAGGGTTAAGATCCCCTTACCGGTCATCTTTTTTTTTTTTTTTACAAAAAAGCTTTCTTCCCACCTCTATGCAGGCACATTGCTTGTTTTCTCCCTCTAAGGCCAAGTCTCCAATCCTTGGTAGAGAAAGAGGGTATTCTAGAGGTGTGCAGGAGGAGATAGGGAGCCTGGAATTCCCCAACACTCAGGAAAGGTTCCCTTCTCCCATGCTGGAAACACGTCCAGAACACCTTGGCAGCAAAGTGGAGGGAAGACTCCATCCAGACCCTCACGTGCACCCAGGAGGAGTGGCATTTTTAGATATTTTAGGTATGATGTGTGCCTGGGCCCCTAGGCATCCATGGGCCACCTCCTTAGAACGCCTCTGAGATGAAGCAAGGCCAGGGACTTGGTTCACACTTTGTGGGCCCCAGTGAGCCTCAGTCATTCTGCTAAGTCGCACTGGCACCAGCCACACACCAAGCACCGTGCAATGTTCAGCAATGAACGCAACATGGCCTTTGCCCCTGAGGAGAACAGGACATAATGGAGGAGGCAGACGTGTAGGGATCCAAGCAGAATGAAATATGGGCTAAGATTGAGGTATAAGTCAGAGGCCAGAGAAAGGGTGGGTCCATGAGGCAGCATGAGTAGGACCACATCTGTGCTGGGAAGGGCTTCTAAGAGGAGGCTCATTATGAGCTTCACAGACCTCCCAACCCATACATTGCTAAGCTCCCGGCTGGAGCTCCTGTTCCTAAACAGACTTTCCCATCCTGTTCCTGGTGGGGAGGCTGGTCAGACCCTAAGTGCAGAGGGCTTCACACCTCTCACCCAGTGAGAAATGTGACTTACCTCCAGCACTCCAAAACAGCACAGATCAGAGGACAAGGGGTGGAGTGCTAGCTACTGCCAGCCTCCCATTACAGCTCCTCTTCGTCTCCCACCCAGGCCTGCAGCCACTGCTCCACCCAGACTTGGCACATCAGCCATCTACTATGGGTCTTCAGTCTATTTGGACCTCCATTAGTTCCTCTGGAGCCACACTGTAGTGTGGACAGGGCAGGGCTGTGATCCGCATCTTACCTGAGGAAGAGAGAGGCTCAGAGACAGCCTCCTGTCCCCAGCACTGCTCTGTGCACGATGCCCTCTAGGGCTCACAGATGGGCACTCACTGTTAGGCAGCCTGGCTCTGCAGTCTTCAGAGGCCCTCCCTTTTAGCCACAGAACAGAAAGCAGCTGAGCAAAAGGCTGAGGTTAGAGCTCTTAGAGGGGGTCCAGGTGAGAAAAAGGAAGAACAGTGAGGTGTGCTCTGCCAGACTCAGTCAGAGCTGGTTCAGTTCCAAGGGGAGCCCTGACCTTGGGGAGGGGAGAGAAGGCAAGGGGGTTGATGCAACCATACCCCTCCTGCCCCCCCTGGAAGCAACCTCTCCCACAGGACAGGAGCATTGCTGTAGAGAATGTCTGCAGCCCCAGAGTGGGTGGGCAGGGGTCCAACAGATGCTTCCTGCCTGTGCCCACGGTGGGAAAAGCACCTACCCACCTGGCTCATGCCTCAAAGCCAGCTGTTACCTCCTGCTCTTCATCCGACCCAATTCTTTTCCTTTAAGGAAGCTCAGTGACCTCTGGCTCTTGACTTTTTCAAATTCTCTTTCCCCAGCCCAGATGCACCAAGTCCCCAATCCTTGTTAGGAAGAGGGTGGCTCCCTAGGCCTGCACTTCATGAGTGCCCTTATACTATGGTTGCCATGGAAACAATAAATTACTGCCCACTGGTTTTAAGTCGGCCAGTTCTTCTGGTCACTGCAGGCTCACACCACTGACATGCCCACCAGGTGACTCATGTCACTGCCAGAGAAAGCCACCAGCACAGCTGGCCTGGGGAAAGCCGGCAGCCACTCCCCCTGAAGACAACTGGTCCAAAGGCAAGACAGGCACTGCACCTCTCCCCAGGAACAGCAGGGAGAGCACTGCCCCCGGCAGCCCCTTGCAGGCATGCGCCAGCCCCTCAAGACTGAGTGAGGGGCTTCCCCTCAGCCATGAGGTTTGTGCACTCATAAGCCATTTCTGTCTGCACACAGCTTCGGCAGTCGAGAGCTGCCAGCCCTACCCCCTCCCCGACAAGCATCCAGGGTGTGTCACATTCCCACCTTCACAGCCACCAAGAAGGGGGACCCTGAGCCGGGGCTGGTCGGGGTTCCCAGCTCACACTCCTCCAGGAGAAACACATCTTCATCCTCCAGAACCTTGTCCAAAAAGCCTATCGCCTCCTCTTCCTCTTCCATGGCAGCCGGAGCCCGCGGAGGGCAAACAGGAAGCAGGGTCCACGCAGCAGCAGCAGCAGCAGCAGCAGCAGCGCCGTCGCCGCCGCGCCGCCCGGG